ATTTTTTCTTAACTCGCAAAAATCTTCAAACAATTTGCTATCGATTGGTGATAAAATTTTTTGGAAATAATGAAATAGGGGGGATAACGCCTTTTTTGTCACGGGTGATTTTTCAAAAATTTATTTTAAAAAAAGTACTAACTAGCAAATGTTTTTTTATTAGCTCGCAATTTTCTTCAAAACTACTTCAATGAGGAAAAAAATAAAAATTTGGAATATCTATACATGAGGGGCTAATTGATCGGATCTCGTCGGAACAAGGTCCGCGATTCTACCGGGTGGCCACTGTTAATTACACGTATATGTATCCCAAGTAGACTCTTTTGAATTTACACTGCGTAGCGCAGTCTCATTTGAACTGAGACATCAATCTAATATCATTGAATGGTTTAATAAAATTGAAAATGCAAGTAAACTCGCTGTGAATTTATATAATTTTATCGAAGAGTAATTAATGGAATTTTAAAAGAAAGATTTCAATGTTTGATTTTGAGTCAACGGCTGAGCCTCACCCTGTCTTCATGGTTGTTCCCTTGCACAGTCGGGGATATGTACAGTCGTGGAAGTATGAACGNCCCCCGATTGTTTTTTTTATGGGTCTATGTCTCTCCTCAGCCTTTCGATAAAATGTTGATAGAAAAATTTTATTTATACATACTTGAATGAATTTGAAATGTCACGTTTGAAGAGACCGTCAGAAAGCGCACTTTCAGGGATATCATGAAAAATTCGAAATTTTCAACAATCATCATTTAAATCAAAACGACCAATATAGCTATCGTAATCATCTTTCAACTTCGACGTAATGGCATTAAAACAAACATTTTAAGCTGTGATTGAATTCATTTGAAGCACGATATTCAAAGATATCCCCGGAATTCTGATTTTCAAAAAATACAAAATTTTTGCAAATTTTCAAATAAATTACAATAACGAGTATCGCTATCGCCTTCATCTTCGAACTCGGTCAAAAGGCTATCAAAAAAATTTTTAAGCCATCATTCAATCAATTCAGAACATTTTTTTTCGAAATCCATTTTTTCGAAAATTAAAAAAAAACTAATCGATGAATTATATACTATAAAAGCAGAAGATGTGTAAAACAACCATTTGGAAGCATATTGCTAATTTATTATTGAAAAATTATACTATATTAATATAACAGCAATTTTATTTATTAATTTTATTTATTTCGTTATTTGAAGACCTAAAAGATAATTCTTATAAAAAAATATGTCCCAACATTTTCTTCCAAAGCCATTAATAAATAAAATTATTGAGTAATTATAGAGCTGTATGATATTGTAAAAAAGAAAAATGAAAGAAGGCATTTTTATAAATTTTTTTTAAGGATTAATAATCACTGTAAGTGAAATATTTATTTGTTCCAGGTTCAAGTTACTAGGGATTTATGGGAGCAAGGTATACTCCTGACGGACGTACCTCTTCCAGTAATAGATTAACCCTGAAAGCTTCATAAAAAAAATTAGCGAGACGTGGTGAGTTCGAAGACTACCAAAAATTATTAGAAAAAAGTGATTCACTGTTCTTCGCGAGACTAATTCATCTGTCCATTCGATGAATTGGGCACAAACTACTAGACATAAGGTCAGAGAAGAAGAGAATATAACTTAAAAAGCTTTCGTTGAAGCTTATATTGTATTAATTAACTTGAAAAAGAATTTTCATAATGTGATTAAAGAGTTTCGATTCTCAGGAAAATCCAATTGGACCAATTAAATAATTATAATGCAGATAAAACCTTCATTTTATTTTTTCCACAATCATATGCTATTTTTTTTATTGTTTCTTCATTCACACGAGTCGTCATCAATTATAAATCAACAGTCGAAAAATATTTGGATCTTAGATTTCGAGTTTCAAGTCTTAATCGAGCAATTCTCTTAGTAACAAAAGAAAACAAAATTAAGAGAATTTAATTCTGAACAATTAGAATTTTCCGAGTAGTTCTATGACGAATGATTAAAAATCCTTAGTAAGAGAAATTCGTCTGTCCACTCGATTTTGGGCAGAAATTACTGGACATAAGTTCAGAGAAGAAAAGAATATAACTTAAAAAGCTTTCGTCGAAGCTGATATTGTAATAATTAACTTGAAAAAGAATTTTCATAATGTTATTAAAGAATCAATCTATAATTAGACTCTTTTGATTCTCAGGAAAATTCAATTGGACTAATTAAATAATCATAATGCAGACAAAACCTTCATTTCACTTATTTTTACAATCGTGTATTATTTTTTTCATTCTTTCTTTATTCACACGAGTCATCATTAATTATAAATCAACAGTAGAAAAATATTTGCGTCTTAAATTTCGAGTTTCAAGTCTTTCTGGGCTTTCTCAGTATCAACTCCGGTTTTCTGTCTAGCTAGGACGTATTCAATGTACCCCAGGTATCCATCCTTGTCGAGATCATCTTCCTCCAGGACCCGATCTATCAATTCTACGCCGAAAGACAAAAGAAAAAATTACGATCAATTTAGCTCTGAGAATTGCCAGTTGAATTGTTTTGTCAATCTAAATGCTTAGTAATAATTACTGTTTTCATTTTTGTATTAAAATATTTTTCGTTATCCACAATTATAACTCTTTTTACAAACCTATTCCGATATGTTTTCATCTTACCCACGATAAATGGAATTTGACTGGATTCGTCGACTGTTTCTTGATCATCCTCGTGGTGAAACGAGTGCTGAATCGCGTGCAACATCTCCAAGCCGTCGAGTTTCGTGTTGTTATCTATGTCGTGAGCTCTGTTCATGGAAAGAGAGAACATCAAGAAATTGAAAAAAAATTGTGGAAATTTCCCATCAAATGCTTGTGGGGTTTAAAGAAAACGGTGTGAATTCCTCTTAAGGGTGCCAAGTGAATTTGGCGATGACCTTGAAAATTGACATTCACCAACAAAGTTATAATTTTTTTAATTAATAGTATTAGACAGATGGTGAACATCGGTGACAATTTTAAAATTTTAGAACTTATGGATATCGAGAAATTAAATAAACAAAATCAGTCTTATACACGGCCTCTTATGGAGTTTTGATTAAATTGAACGTTTCAACCCCCTAGGAACTCAAGAAAAATTTGAAAAAATTTGAAGATATGGGGAGTGATGTGTTCAATGTGATGGCGATAAAAAACAATGGGGTACCGGGGTGAATAAGAGAGATATTTCAACCCGCCGTACCCATTTGATCCCATGCTTTCTCGAGGTTCGTCACGCGAAATAGAGGATTTTCCGCATTTATTTTCTCGATGTCTAGTTCCGGTTGCGGGTTTGAAATTTCGTCGGATGGATGAATACATATTTCTCCAATGACCGAGGGAAAGAAAAATTTTTTAAATCTTTTTTCAAATTCACTTGGCACCCTTGAGTTTGATAGATTTATCACTCACTGGAAATAATAAAAGTCTAGTTGTTGCTCAGTCATCTTGGATACGTCCATTTCATTCGCAAAGTCGCCCATGTCCTCCATTAAATGTCTGAAAAACCGATCCAAATGGATTTGAAGTTTTTTGAATATTTTTATTTGATGCAGAATAAATTAATTAATTATTTAATGCAGAATAAATTAATGCAATGCTTACGCAGTGTCATGCAACAGTTGTGTGTCCTGTGTGAGTTTAACATCCCTCTGGGGTGTATAATGATGATGCGAGACAGATCCTCTAGGATGATGAGGTCCCCGAAACCCACCAACCGCAGTGAGACACGTACCAACAACAATCAATCCGAATATCTCCATATTATCCCTGAAATCGTGAAATAAATCGAAATCAATGATTAATTCATCATCGCTACCGTCCGGGGACTCCAAGGGGTGGAGGGGGGGGGACAATAGGACCTGCTGGAGTCTGATTTCGCGCTGAAAGTACTCAAGAAGAGGGTGAAGACGAGGGGGGCTGCACGATAACGCCCCCCCGGCCATCGACAGATGGGCCGATTTGGGGGGTCTGGCGGTAATTATTATGCGATTACCCACAAGCCCATTGATTTACATCGGTGGACTATCCAGGGGGTTCCAGCGATATGCCAGAACCGACGAGAGATGGAGAAAGGGGAAGGGGGGGGGGCTCGGACGGAAATACTTGTCACTCATGTCTCGGGGGATCCCTCGGTGAATTGTAAACAGTGTTTCAATTTTTTTGAGAGTGATATTTATTTTGTTAACTGGAGGGGGCTAAGGTACGAGATTAACCACTCTTTAATTGTTTTTCGTGATGTTTCTCTCAGTAATTTTGGAGAATTTGTCATTTTGTTGCTTTTACGTTTTTTGGTGAATTTATTCATTTTAGGGATATTTGCAAAACAGGTGGAAAATTGATTTTATATTAATATGGGACTACCCACGTGTGACCCTCGTGACCTTTATTTGAACCCTTACTCTGACCCTGGTGACCGTTAGTTTCTGACCCTTCATTTCCGACCCTTAATTTTGGAGTCTCAATTTTGAGCAGCAAATTTTCGTCACCAGAAATCGATTTGAACTTTGATAATATAGTGTATGAGCCCCATGACCCTCACTCTAACCCTTATTTTGACCCCTATGACCTTTATTTTGACGCTTGTGACCTATATTTTGTGACCCTTAATGAGACCTTTCTGAGCCTTAATGTTTCCCTCATGACCTGTATTCTGACCCTCATTATAACCCTCATGGCCCTTATTTGGACCCCGATAACCCTTGTGACCCTTAATCTGACCATTCTGAACCTCAATCTGACCCTTGTCACCCTTATTTTGACCCTTATTTTGACCCCTATGACCTTTATTTTGACGCTTGTGATCTTTATTATGTGACCTTTAATCTGACCTTCCTGAGCCTTAATCTTACCCTCATGACCCGTATTCTGAGCCTCATTATAACCCCCGTGACCCTTATTTTGACCCCAATGACCCTTAATCTGACCTTTCTGAACCTCCATCTTACCCCCGTGACCCTTATTATGACCCTCGTGACCCTTAATTATAGAGTCTTAATTTCTTAATTTTCGTGTTAAATTTCTTGTGAAAATTCTCGCATAAATCAAATGAAAGAATGAAACTATCTACATCACCTTTAAACTTCGATACAATGGCAGAAAAACTTTTTTAATGCATAATTAATAGAATATGAAAAGCCCTATTTGATGAAACCGTCGGAAAATTCAGTTTGCGAGAAATTTTAGAAACATCGAAATTTGCAAAAATCGTGGTAAAAATCAAACCAATGGATACAGCTATCACAATGATATTCCAACTCCAACAGGGCGACTTGAAAAAAAAAATTTCAAACTCTGATTGAATTAATTTGAAGCATGACATTCAAAGATATTTCCGGAATTCTCACTTTCAAAAATACGAAATTTCGAACAATTATTCTATAAATCAAAACAATGATTGTTACTATCGCCTTTGTCCTGCCACTCGCTCAAGCGGGCATCGACACAAGTTCTTTACAATAATAAATTTTAATAATGGGTTGATATAACACAAAAAATCGAAAACTTAAATGGGAACAATTAAAAAATCTCCGTTCGGAAGTAAAAAATCAAATATTTTGACAAATGTCTTCATCACTCATCCCTTCCCAACAACAAGTAAACATATAAGTGTAAAAAGTAGGTGTAAAGTAGACAAGTACTCCCCTGACAAGGTACTCAGATTAAGGGTATACTTAGGAATGATTTCAATGGGCTTTAGGAATGAAGTGAATGGTCTCTGTACCAATGCAGGGAATGCATATGTTGAAACGAGGGGGTTACATCTCCCCCCTCTCTTCTC